AACAGCGACGAGTCAAACAAGCGCCCACTCAACCGGACCCTAAATACCCAGATCTTGAGAAACTCAGATTCGTGTGATTACTCCGAAAAGCACACGGAATTAGTGCAGTTGATGACTACGCCTGAAATAGGACTACGATGTTGAGATAAGCCCTTATGATGTTGCAAGAATCTTTTTAGGGAGGCATTTACCTAAGAAAGGAATGAAACTTGTATATTAATTGGTGACCGAGCGCGGTCAAGTCACGCATGGTGACTGATGTTGGTCTGCTTTTCTGAGTAAAGCCAACAAACGTATGAGACAGGTGCACTGCAAATTTTCAGAACCCTTCAGCAGCAATAGGTGACCCCACTGTAATCTCGCCACAGTTACCGGACAGTGGAGAGCATGGACGTTACCGCTGCCACAGAGGCTGTACGATTAAGTCTGAGGTCTCGAGCCTCTCGAAGGGTTGTGTACGACGGAACGTACACCAGAGCTGCGTAATAGAAGAGACAAATGTCTATTTTTTTATGAGTGCCCTGCAATCGAGAGACGAAGGTGCAATCTGGAACTGATTGTCTGGCAGTTTAGCTAGCAATCCAAATGACGTTGACGTTCAACAGCCATTTGCCGTGATGTAGCACCATGATTGAGGTGACTCATCGGATTGTTACCGGAAGCTTCCGAATACTTAGTTTTTTTTTTTGCATTGATTTGGCTTTCCATAGCCCGCTGTAATAAATGGCCGTTGTGGTAGAGACCGTAGGAGCCACAACGATGCATTGGTCGTTGTGATTGGGACCATAGGTGTCACAACGGATGCATTGTGGATGGATGTTTTTGAGAGTGAATGCTGCTGCTGATAATAACGAACACGCCTATGATTACTAAAGGCCATATCCTTGACTGCTACTATGCTTTTGCGCTAACCACTACTGCTCTCGCTGCCTGACTACAAACCGTTCCTCCCTTTGTCCTCCCAGCTTTCATTTCTCGAGACTATCACGAGCCAGTCATAACTTGACGAGTGTCACATTGTGCTCGGCTCGCTAGCAGAGCCGGCACGTGGTAACTGTAAACGATGCACCGGCATCACTCAGCGCTCAGTCTAGTGCCACAACGGATATGCCGTGACGGGCCACGTATGGCCAGGCGTGAGGTCTCTTTGTTCCTCTTTCCCCAGTGTGCCTGCAAGTGCAAGTGTTTGTGTATGCACGGCGCCGAGCCTGCATCACAGTAGACCGAGGAACTATCCGAATCACCGTATGATTCAGTGTTCTGCACCGAGCGCAGACGTGCGCTACCAAGCGAAGTGCCCCCGCGCACCAGCAATCCGGGTCACCAGTTGACTCGACGGCCCACGATCCGGGTCACCGCCGAAATAACTGACGTCATGAACTACGATAACCGTTTTCGTGGACCGCAACAAGTGCTTCAGTGACGTTCAATGCGTTCACCCGGCCACTTCCCGCCCTCCCGCCCCTGTATTGTGTTCTTGTCGCGGATGTGTTTGTGTTCTGCGTGTGACTTCCCCGCTGTGTCCTTCGCCCTTCAGGCGTCGGCCTCTGCTTTGTCCTAGCCAAAGCTCTTGCCATGGGTGGGGGAGGTGTGTAAAGTGTGTGCTAGTTATTTGCTTATTGATGTTTGTCCTTCGTCAATCGCTTCTTATGTTTCTAAGGGTTTAGGCTTAATTAGTTCGTAGTCTAGTTATACCTGCGTGGTGGCTATATTTCAATTTCGCATTTCAACGCTCATTACCTTTACCGCTCTCCGCTCGCGCTCAGCCCACTGCAGCTGACCCCGCGGCCGGCCGACGACGCGTCATAGTTTATTCATGATCGTGACTCATCGTCTCCAGCACTCTGCGCCGCGCCGCCGGTGTGTTATCTACAAACGTCAGCTTTTAGTCTGTCTTCTGTCAAACGCGCTCTAGAGACTCTATACCTAGAAGTCAGCCGCTGCCTGCTAAGTGCCGTCTGATGTCTTTGCAACGTTGCGAAGCCGGATGCACTTAGGACCACGAGACCAGCGTGTGACGCTCTCACTCACGTGACGCATGATTCTCGATCGTACGACGTGGTGATGACCAATCGCAACTGTGCAACCATATATGGAACGGCCAATAGTAAGTCGCCACGCAGGGTTAGAGGGCCACCGCCCTTAGAGTAGGGAGTTCTGCTAAAGTCACCCGAGCGGGGGGACTGGGAGAAGACCCAGAGCCATCATCGGCGTCGGACGTTCTCTCTCTCGCTCGAGGAGTCCTCCGAGCTCCACAGCCGCTGGACACATACCATCTGCTCCGCGCGCTTGTGTAGAGAAGACCCCCAACCTCAGACCACGCCGGACGCGTTTCTGCGTCGGTCTCGACCGACACCGTAGCTGACCACCTCGCTCTGTGTTGTGCTCGACAATACACCTGGACCGGCAGAGCATCTCTTCTGGTAAAGGGCTGACAACAACACCGGCGCGCCCCGCCCTGGGCACGAGAAACCGCCGTGTTACAAATGTCAAAACCGTTAGAAAATGTAAGAAATTGTATGTGTACTGCTGTGGCATTTATTCTCAGCTATTTCAGTGGAACATTCCTTGGACATTTTAACCGCCATAACAATGTACTACCTGCAGCTTGACTTGTTTCGTATTTTTGCCCAGGCTAACCATTAAACGGCTAATCCCATGCCCCCTAGCATTGCAACACGGATATGTATTCTGCACCTGCAATGCGCAACGCGTCATTTCCCCATCACTGACTGCCGCGGTAGCTGCGGCGCTGCGGCGGGAGCGAGGCACAAGGACACGCTCGGGCGACCACACCCCAGGACCGGCCGGGCGGTGTTGCCCCATCGCTCGGCGGCCGGTCGGGCCGCGGCGGCTGCCACGCGCGGCTCTGAAACCCGCCCCCGCCCCCGCCCCCGCCCGGCCGTCAGAGCGGTCAGTCCGGGCCGACCCGGCGCCGCCCGGTCACACCATTGTCTGGGAGATCGCCCAAGGTCGGACGACGGACCCTTTCGGGAAGATTGGTACACCGCCCTCTCAGGCCGCCGCACGGCGCAACGCAACGCCGCCCGGGAATACGTCCAAGGGCGGTGAGGCAAAGCCTTCTAAATAGTCTGGCTCGTTTTCATAAGGTCAACTGTTTAAGAGAAAGGTTATACATCGCATGCAGTTGGTGTATTTGTGGCCGTGACATCTTCATAAAATTTATCCTTGTTAGTGCTATTCTGTATGGACATTCGTCTATAATATAAACGCTGTTTTGATGCCAAATGATCCAATAGATCGGCAGACGGCAGACAATGACGTGACGAAACGAGCACCATAGCCGCCCGCTGGCTCCACTGGTGGTCCGTTTACCGTGAGCCAGTGTCGCCCACCGTCACCCACTGTTTCTCACCGGTGCTGGTCACCCTCCCGTGTCACCTGCTGCTCTCTCGTACCGCCCGTCATCCTCCGTATCACCCACCGGCACCCACTGGCCACTGCTGTCTCATATTGCTCGTCACCCGCCTGTACCATCCACTGTTCTGTGGTGCTGCCCGTCACCCTCCGGTGTCACCCTCTCCTGGTCTGCCCCCGCGGCGACCATTAGCGCCGACACGCTCCGTTTCGGCGCGCCGGTCAGCCCTGGGTCACCGCTCGGTCACTGTGACCTGTCAGCGGGGTGGTCACGGGTCACGGACGCTCGTGAGGCTCTGCTCCCCAGTGTCATCAGGTGTCTATGAGCCGGTCACGGCGTGGGCCCGGTCAGCACGATCCCGCCCACACAACGGCCCGGTGTTCTGGACAAAACAGCGAGCTTTGTCCGTGATGAGGACTAGACAATGGAACAGTCTGTGTTTGGGCAGACCGCTAGGTAACCCCATCACCTCATCTGGAGGCGGATGTGGGGTGGAATGTTATGGGCTGCTACTTCCGAGGAATGCTATACAACGATCTTGACCCAGTAGCAAAGTATCTACAATTATCCAACATCTCAATTGCTGTGCCTCAATGTGTCACGCAGCCTTCATAAATTACCACTCCACTGTGGCATAGTTTGCACTGTCATTCCTTCCGGTGTTATGCCTGGCTGCCAGGCGGCTGTTGGTCATGCCTGGCGGACTGCCTTGCAACCAGCTTCCGTATAGCCATAGCCGGTAGTCCTGGAGCTGGTAACCGATAGCTGTAAACCGCTTACAAAACCAGGGACACTGCCAGCAGTCGCAGCAGTGCATATTGCACCCTAACCAGCAATCTCGCGGGGAGGCCAGGTTTACGAGAATCTTCGTCAGCCTTCCTGAGTTTCCGTGAGCTCAAGGTTTCCTGGAGATTCCGTGTGCTGCGAGTTCGCTGAGGACCTCTTCAAGGATCTCTGTAAGGACTTCCCTAAGAATTTTTCTGAGTCTCCCTAGATTTCCCTGAGGGCCTCCCTGCGGGCCTCAGAGGGCTTCCCTGCGGGCCTCCCTGAGGACCTCTCTGCGGGCCTCCCTGCGGACCTCTCTGAGGGCCTCCCTGGGGGCCTCTCTGAGGGCCTCCCGGCCCGGGCGGCGGCCTCTCCCGCTGGGCCGGAAGGCGGCGGTGCCGGCGGACGTCCGGGTGAACCGGTGCCGCTCGGCCCGCCCGGAAAGCCCCCACAAAGGTCGCCCACTAATGGTGCGGCCGTTCTCACAGCGCGCCAGTAAAAACGGCACCGTGTCGGCCCAACGAGCGCCGTCCGCAGGCCGAGTTGCCGCACATAGTTCAGACTCAGCCGCCCACACTGTCAGGGCAGAGCCACGCCCAATGAGTTAGGCAGCTCGGCAGGGAGGAGATAGGTGACTATGGTGCGCCAGAAATGATTGTTGTGGATGCAACTACAGCACGAGGCCGTGGGAACACTGGTGAACCTCTTCAAGGATGTTTATGTGTATAGTTCCACCATCTTTACATAATCAAAGGTGAATCACTTCAACATCGAGCCGACGAAGCAGCATAAAATATCACACAAACATGTACGGTTCTGTGTTCTTGATCACTGACTTCCGCATCCTTCTTTACAGACCGAGGCCATGGGCAGCTGGCGTCTCAGAGTGCAGGTAAGCTCCAGCTCGGCGGGACTTCTTTGTCCAATGCTGCTCCAGCGCTGTCAGACACGGCCATCACGACCTGAACAGACTGACTATCACACGGCTGGCAGACACGGCCTTCACGACCTGAACAGACTGACTATCACACGGCATCGCCATTGACACCGACCGGCGACCGCCTCGACACTGAAAAGATCTTGACAATATCCTTGTTAGTGATTCCTTCTTCCTAACGCTTCCAAAGAACGACTCAGGGTGTCAAGGATGTCTGAGAAAAGGTGACTGAAGTCTCTTCCAGTCAGCCTCTTACATTGATGGAAAGGCGTTTGTGTGAATGACACATTTACGACATTTCAATGCTGAGGCCTTACATAGGATGACGTGACACAATATCCCGAGACAACAAACCAAACAGAGGGGATCAAGTGAGAACTGAGAAGAGACACATGTTACTTCCAAAATGTCAACAAAATGTCGGGCAATTTAACTGCCAAACAACAGTAGCTGTAGGACGTAGGTAAACACCTCTTTTGACAGCTGTCTGCTGTCCTGCCATTCCTGTGGAAGGTTGCTGGTGTAAGGCGTTTGTTTATATCAAATTTCTATCTCACAATATCTCCATCGTTGTGATTGATTTACATGTACATATCGTATAAGCACGCTGTTGTAGTTTTGCATGTACTCTTCTCCTCACTAGATCTTCTCCTGTTTTATTTACCCGTGACATAGACACTTTTTATGGCCAAATATAGACATAGTGCACACAGTTCAGTAATAGTGCCCAACCGATTTCGACAGTTCGCCATGGACGGGCTATGCCGTATTGTAGGAATCACCTGCACTATTGCTGTAATGTGTGCACTGCCGCCCAAATTGGACTAAAATGTGTATAAAAGACGATTTGTACGGACAATACTAGTTGACTTGAGATATGACATAAAAATTATCGTGGGCGAGTGACGCACATATAGCTGCGGACAAATTGAAGAAACGACGTAACCATGCTGTTCGCCATACTGGAAGCACAAGCCGGACGAAGAGAACTGCGACGATCTCTTCCTGCAGAAACGACTTGACGCGGGACGAGCGCCCGGACGGAAAGGCAGATTCATCCGATGACTTTTTCTGCGGACGACTGCTGTGAACCGAAGACAACTATCGGACTTTGCTGGCATTTTCATTTCACCAATGACGAGACCCTTTTCACCACTTATCTGCATGCCTGTTTGTTGTCTGTCTTTTGTTTGTTCTTTTCATTTGCATGCTCTAACCTTCAGTCAATGATTCTCATTTGTTTTGTCTCAAATTCGATGTCAATAATCGTTCTTCTGTGCTGATCTATCTATTGTGTTTGTTCTTATCGCCCCACTATCTCCCCTTCTCTTCTCTCTATCTATTAGTGGAAGCCGCGCAGTCGACTCCGCTCAGTGAGGACCGGGCCCTGGACCTGATGGAGGACCTGGACGGCAGCGACAACAAGCTCACCACCGTGACCTACGTCGGCTTCGCCAACTTCGTCACCACCATCGGCGGCACCGTCGTAGTCTTCATGCCCCGCACGGACAGCGGTAACCACATCGTCGCGCCTACGCGGACCGGGAAGAGCCTCGTCAGGAGCCAGGCTCCAGTGTTTGTTCCGGGTGGCCGGGTGACCAAAACCAAGACCGCGGCGCCGCTCGAACGCAGCGCCGCCGTGTTCGTCCCGAAGGCGACCAGCAAGGAGAGCAGGTCTGCAGGAGCGTCAGTAATCAGCGCTTCACCGAGCAGAGCGTCCTCCAGTGATCACTCCACCGCCACCACTCGAGAGTTCAACACTAATGACCTGTATCCCACTGGTCTGGTGACATCCATTGGTGGTACCCTGGTGCAGAGCGACATCACCACCGTCTTCACCACCCTCTTCTACGGCACCTACATCAAGGGTCGCTACGCCAAGGTGGCACGGAGTGCGTCCAGCATCTACCACGGTGACAGCAGTGCCACCGCTGCTCATCCGGTGGAGTCTATTTTGAGCACTCATGCCTCCTCAAAGACACCTGGACAGCAGACTCCCGTCCAACAGCCGTTAGTGGCGACTGCTTCCGTCAGCAACAGCTTGGGCCGAGCCGTCGGCAGCGATTCCACGGCGCAGATAATCGTTAGTGACGAGACCGCTGAGGTGCTGAAGCAGGGTCGCGCTCTGGTTGGCAGTATCTCCCCGACCACAACGCCGGCGCTCTTCTCCTCACACGCCGACGCCGATGAAGTGAAGTCGGTGCTGAAAACCTACTACACCACGTACACGTACTTCACCACTGTTGTGAAGGACGGCACGAGCGCTGTGCGAAGCAGTTTGAGCACAGTGAGCAGTGTTGCCACGGAACAGCTGCCGGCGGGAGCTGTCACAACAGAGACCACCAAACTGGTCAGCAGCACTGCTACTGTGGACGGCAGGGAGGTAGTTTCGACTGAGCAAGTGACGAAACTGCTACTGTTGTCTCCAAATGTGGCCACAGAAACCACAACCCCGCCCAAAGTCATCACAAAGTCGTTCTTCACCACGTACACGTACCTCACCACATCCTTGGTAGGAGCCAGCAGCATCATCAAAAGCCGCCTGGTGGTGAGCAGCAATGTGGTTACGTCAACTGCGAACGAGTCCCCGCAGCTGACTGCCTCTGTCGCGCTGAAGTCGGAATCTGTGAGCGCCACACCGCAGGCCTCCTTGAACGTTGCTGACGTGGCAAATACTCCTGCTACATCGGAAGACGTTGCTACCCAGGTGACCAGCGTGCCGGCACAAGTGGCTGCCGCCCACAGAACTGGGCTCATATCTTCGAGGACGTCTTCAGTCGTTAACGACGGCATTGCTACAGTTCATTCGACCGGATATTTTGGTACAGTGGTTAACGGTCGCTACCTTCAGCTAGTTCAGAGCACTACCAGCGTTCTTCAACTAGCACCAGAGACCACAGTTCAGCTGAAGGATATCCTTGTCTCTAGCAGTGAGGCGCCTCGTCCAAGACCCACCGCTCTGCCGAGGATTGCACCTGCTCCTGTGTCCACATCCAGTGTCGCTGAAACGAGCTCGAGCAGAAGCAGTCGTTTGTTCAGACTACCAGCGGCTATCCGCTCTGGACCCAGGTCTAGCACGACCCCGCTGTCCGCCGACCGAACCACGATTCTGACTTCACCCTCAAATGCAGTGTCGTCTGCCCTTGCTCTCGTGTCTTCGGGCATTCAAAAGTCTTCACGAGCTCTGACCTCTACCAGCCGTGCGTTCAGACAGTTCCGCAGATCCGGCGGGGAAAGAAAGGCGGCTGGTCTGTTGGCACTGCTGGCCCAGAAGCGTGGACTTAGTGTCAGTTCGCACGGATCGTCTGATCTGCAGAGTTCCGAAACGTCACTGAATCGTTTTGAATCATCGGTCTCTACAACCAAATCGCAAACAATTCAGCTACCCGTGACGTCCGCACCTGCTTTGGTAGCAACACCACTGACAACCAGTCAGCCCATTTCCACCTCAGAGTCGTTGGAAAGCATCCAGCCAACTCAAACAAGACGCAGAGTTATCGTTAAGACTCGCCGCAGCTTCCGAGCAGCGACGGGGCGACGCCCAAAGAGACCTGGCCTCAGGGCATTGATTAAACACGAAAACATTGAGCGCGAGGAGAGCCAAGCCACACCTCTGCCTACGTTCGACTTGCTTGTTTCAAGAGCGACAGAAGCAAATGAAATCCACGATGAGCAGCCTATTGATCCCACGGAGGAGCCAGAGCTCTTTGCCGTGGCAAATCCTACCACAACAGAGACTCCGGCGCCCGAACCCCGCAGTCAGCGACTGCTAGCATTTGGAAGAGAATCCCGCAGGACTGGTGGAACGAGAAACGCGCTCCCATTGAGGAGACGTGGAGGCTCAGACCGTCCTAGAGGTTTGGCCAGTCGCTTCCTAGCTGCTAACACCTTTGGTCAGGAGCCAACAGAAGCCACAACCACTGAAGCCGTTACTACCACTACTACGTCTACCACTCCAAAACCCGTAACCACCACTACTGAACCCACCACGGAATCCCCAGAATCTTCGGGTATCCCCTTCGCACGTGCACGTAGTCGCTCTCGCTCGGGGATAAGGAGGCTGCCATTCTTACGACGCAGAACAATTTTCAAACGTGACATTCCCTATGAAGACTACGAAAATGATGCCGTTCACAGAAGAAGTAAGCGTCAGGCATTCGGTGCCAGAAAAAGTAGCAGGAGAAGTTCCTTGAGAGATATCCTCTCCAAGGAGCAGTCGGCAGCAGAAGAAGAGCCTGCTGAAGCTGCTGTGGACCCTCTGAGATCTCGAAGGAGATCTCAGCGTCCACTGAGGCGCCGCACGCAGGAGGAATCGGTGCCACGCGCCCGGAACGTCAGCCCCACGCCAAGCGAGACCGAGGAGAAGGAGCGGTTCACACTGACCCCGAATCGGTCCCGTGGCTCGAGCAGGTCGTCCAGCAGCACGCGCCGTGCCATTCCTGGCGCACGCTCTCGGCGTCCTGTTCGCCCAGAGGCGCCGACAGCAAGTAGCAGCAGTAGTGATAGGAGTAGCAGCAGTAGCAGCGGCAAAGTCAGCCTGCGTCAGAGACTGCAGCAAGCCCGTTTCGGTACCAGCGGCAGCAGCAGTAGCACAAGCAGCAGCAGCAATAGTGGCCCCAGCTCCAGTCGTCGCACGCCGTCGCGCCGGAAGCCTTCTGTGACACTGCCGTCTCGCACTCCGTCCCGCATCACGAGTCCGTCGCGAGGCTCCAGCAGACTGTCCAGCTCACGTCGTCCTACCACCAACCGTCGAACGAGCCTGTTCGCAAGTCGCGGAAGCAGTCGCGATAGCACTCCATCTCCATTCGAGCCAGAGATTGATCCGACACCCGTGCTGCCCGAAGGCCATATCATCGTCATTTCTGATGACCCCATCACCACCTCGATCCCTCTCGTGGAAAACGGCCGAACGACCTACAAAGAAGTGCTCTCGGCGACAACGGTGACAGCAACGTTGGAACCGGATCAGTACTCTGTCACAGACGTCGCCGGCGAGCTCCGCACACACGTCGGCTTCTCGACGGCCGTAGGGGCCGGCGGTCTGACCGAGGTCTCCACCCTGTACCTGACTCCGACTGAAATCAAGACGGGCGTGTACAAGACGACGCGCGTCCGGGGCCGTCTGAGCTCCACTGTTTCGTCATACATCCAGCCGGCGTTCACTGTCGCCGCGGAGGTGAGCACTGTGCCCGCCTCGCCGCTGCAGCAACGGCCTGGCCAGAACAACAACGCCCTGATGCTGCTGCTGCGCCAGCTGCTCGGAGGACAGCAGCCCGGCCAGCCCAACTTCGGCACTCCGCCCATCAACGTGCCAGCTCCCAAGCCGCAGCAAGCCTTCCGGACCTTCTCACACACCACCACCTACGTGACCACGCTGACGGAGTCGGCGCTCACCACCGTCCCCATTTTCTTCCAAGGCCGCAAGACGCACACGGTCATCATCAACAAGGACGTCAATGTCATCACGGCCACGGAGGTGCTCACCTCCTCTGAGCCCATCCCCGGGCAGACGGTGGCGCCGGCAGCCGCGTTCGGTGGCGGCGGCGGCGGCGGCGGCGGATTCGGCAACGCAGGGTTCGGCCTGACTCCGCAGCAGCTGCTCCTGCAGCAGCTGTTCGCGCAGCCGGCGCAGCAGCCGCTGTTCCAGCAGCCGCAGCTGCCGCTGATCCGACCCACGCGGCAGCCAGTGTTCGCACCGGCGTCGCAGCCGCCGCAGCTGGAGGAGCTGCTGCGTCAGGCGTCGGAGGCTCCGGGCGGCTCCCAGGGTGGCCGCTTGCGCCGCCACGCCGGCAGACGGCGTGCGGCGCTCCCCAGTGGCGTCGAGCGCAGTCCGCCGCTCTTGGAGATACGCCAGCCCACGCCTGAGGACCCGCTGCAGTTCTACCTGATGTCGGCCATGAACGATGTCGAAGTCGCCCCAGTGACGCTCAGGGCCACCCAGACTCTGGAGAGTGCCGGGGCGCGGCCCAGCCTGGCCGTCCCGCACGTGCTGGACACTGCGCCCTCCGCCACCTTCGTGTTGGTGAAGGCGACCGAGGTGCATCAGGGGAGAGTAGCGTGATTGGGGCCGTGTGAATGGGTGCTGTAACGAAATGGTGTGTAATCCAGTGAGTCACACTGGGTTAGCAGAAACTGCTGGTGTTTTTAAGCCGGCGAGTCCTCTGGAAACAGAGACATATCTGCCGATAAGCAATGTGTGAGATACATGACAAGGACCTGGCAGATGACTCGAGTGGTTTGCTAACGGTGTGGATGGTATTTGCAGCTGCTACAGTGCCATAGCAAATATGGTTGTGGTAATGATAGGTGTTTTATGCGTTTTACTTTAATCAGTTTTACTTCAAACATGTGAAATCAATCTAGGAAAATGTCGCTCGCCTGCGTTTGATGATTCGTTTGAAGCAAAAGTTTAATGGTTTGGTTCCTTTTGATACGCCGTGTCTTTTGTATCAACTAGAGCAACGTGTTCACTGTTTAGAGTCCAAGGTTAAAAAGATGTTTGGCGCTGGATATTTGACAAGTTGATGGAGGTCACTATCAATTGCTACTAAAAGTTTATGTTTTACGTCATTGTATGAGGGACGTAGTGTTTCTCGCTTAAACAAAAGCAGTTCAAGACAAGTGATGGTACGAGAGTATAGCAATAACATGTCACCATCTACTGACAGAAGCTATGACTCAGCTGTGTCTGAGGATAAGATGTCTCTGGCATTGGGCTGTCATGATGAAGTAAATCACTTTTGAATGAAGGAATATGAGATCGAACTCATATATGCCTAGAATGGACCATGACTGAATGTGTTTTCTGTAAATACATGTGGAAATCGACATATCAACTTTTTTGTCGTCATCTTCGATACCGCGCTGCAGAGTTAGCATTTCACACAACGAAACATAACTTATCTGCTGCACACTTCTAAAAATGTCACCAGCGTTTTCTGTTACGACCAGCGGCAGCATCATAGCACATGTAGGCGAGTTGCTGACGAATTTGATGCGCTCAAGCACGACAAAAGCAAGCATATTTATTTGCTCATATACTCGTAATGGGTCAAAGCAGAACAACCCCAATAATCAATATGTAGGTATAGGCGTGCTCCCCAGTCCACGACTTATTATCGCTTATCTCATACACAATTGTTTATGTGAAGCGCATCGTTTCATCTCTCCTTCAACACTCTCCCCTTATAATGATCAACTCACGGACCATTACGGGAGAAGTAGCAATGCTCTGCAGCAAGAGACAGCCTGGAGTATGATCGACAGTCTGATGTCCGAGACAGTTGGAAGTCCCACCTCCCTCAGACACAGGTAAGGTCTCAGCTCGGTCTATATCCACACCAAACGAACACAGTCGACAACCAGGTCACCAACCACATTCCTAACATCGGTTAGTTAGGCTTTAATTGATTTGACAGCTTCCTGTAGCATATGCAGATTAGGACCCGATTTAGCATGCTTTCGCATTTGACAGATTGTGGTCATTAGCGCGTTTAGTTATTTGGGTCATTGTAGCATTCGAGTAAGCTTCTAGCTCTTAGTTTTTGTTCGGCATTGTTCACGGCAGGAAAATACCTAAGCTCATATGATCGTGTAACTTCTTAGTCGTAAAATAGTTTGTGATCCATCTAGTTGCGGAGTATAAGTTAGAACTTCTCTCTAGAATTCCAATTGATACGATTCATGAGCATACAGATACAATACCTAGCTATATGGGCCAATAAAGTAACGTATAACTCAAATGAAAGTTTGCTCACGATGTGAAACAGCGATAAAAATGATGCATCCATACTACTTTTCAGCAGAAGCGGAACAATTATCACAGTTGTCGGAAGCTGATAGTGATTCAGGTAAGCGACGAGCGCATGCTAAACACATTGTCATCAATTCTGTCATGCCAGTTTGATCATGACAGTGCTTGGCTAGTGATGTAAGTCATTTGAGTATCCATGTAAGATATCTAATACCTAAACGTCCTTGAAATGACTGCTAGCTATAACAAATACGACAATATAACAAATACGTCATTCATAATATGAGCTTAATATTTGATCAATATCGTTTCAGAACTCGGCCTTGCTGCCGCGGCGCAGGACCTGCCAGCACCGCCGGTGCCGCTCTCTGATCCGGACGATGGCCAGGTGAGTGACATGGCTCCACGTCTTCATAGTCATGAACTAGTTATGACCTGTACCTGTCATTGAAACGGTGTAATTCAGCAATCACATGACAAAAACGACCCCACGAGAACGCTTCGGTTCGATGTTTGAAAACCGGTCACACTTTCAATACCAGGCCCAACACGCGGGCCGGAGCCTCGACGTTCTCGTTTGCTGCATCGCAGCGGTGACTTGTAGGTCCGGCTTCCACATCGAGCACCGCTGTCCCCAGTCGGGACTGAGCGACCGGCCTTGAATCAGCCCCCTCTCTCTCTCTCGCTCTCGCTCTCGCTCTCTCTCTCTCGCTCTCTCTCTCTCTCTCTCTCTCTCTCTCTCTCTCTCTCTCTCTCTCTCTCTCTCTCTCTCCAGCACACTCTTCCTACCCTGCTGCAGAGTGCAGGGGTCCCCGTGAACCTGGCCAATGACTGCCACCGCCCCGAGCGGTTGTAGATGGGCTCACGGATCCTAAAATGTCGCCATGAACCGGGATATAACTGTTTAACGGGAAAGATTTGCTGATTAGTTCCTCATTTCGATTTCCCGGTATAAATGTTCGATTAGCTATAGCTTCCGTCTTCGACGACACTTTTGCACACTTTCTGCCATCATGACAGTACCGTCTTCATTGTAATTGTTTTGTAACTGAGTCAAGGTGTTATGTCCTTTGTTTGTAAATATACCTTGCACAGTGTTCGTTCGACCCTGCCGCAAATGGAGAGTGAGAGGCACAGCTGACCTTGGCTCCCGTGATGGCAAGCTGCACGAATCTCGGCAGACGAGAAGCCGAGTCTTAGCGGTGGGATTTCCAGAGAGGGTGGCTTGGTGGAGATTGCAGGGCCGATGCTCTTAACTGAACTGACTTTGGAGCATGACTGAAGTTTGCCGGACGACTTATAACCTCTTTTTATTAGTTATCCTTTATGCGTTACTAACCGCATTAGTTATGAGATACATCACATTATTATTTTGAAGGGCTTATGTAGCAGAAAGTAAAAGCCATCAATAATTGCTAATTTTGACACTGCTCTGTCCTACATAAAAGATAAACCTTCCTCAAACGCAGTCATGCCAATGGACTTACCGACGCATTCCTTTTCTCCGGCAGGGTACCTCTCAGCTGAACGTGGACCAGTCTCGGGTGCACACCCTGTACACCACCTTCACGTTCATCGATCGGTTTGTCAAGGACGCCCGGCCGGTGGCCATCACCACGCGGGAGACCATCTCGCGAGTGACGTCGCTGGCACCCGGTCAGACGCCTCCCTCGGGCACCACGCGCCGCACTGAGACCTTCCAGACCACCTACACCTACTACAAGACGGAGTCGGCGGCGTCGGCGGGCGGCCGGCCGCGCGTCACCTCCACGGAGGAGGTCACCACTCAGGTGGTGGTAACCGAGGCGGCCCGTCTGCCTGCCGTGGTGCCCCGCCCGGCCGCCGTCCGACCCGTGGTACTGACCACCATGGCCCCGCAGCGGCCCACAGGCGCCGCCGTCCTCACCCCCATCGTGGAGCCCAGTCAGGTCACCGAAGACGAGGAGGCGCTCAACTCTGTAGTGATGGCGGCGACGCGCACCTTCTACACTACGAGCACGTTCTACACGACCCTGGTGGAGGGCGGCAGCACCGTGGTCCGCTCGCGCACCGAGGTGACGTCGCGCATGCAGACGGAGTTGAGCACCACCTGGCTGCAGGTGGCGACCACTGCGCTGAGTCCACTGGTCAGCCAGACCGTGACCTGGCTGGGCCAGCCCGGCTACCAGCAGGACCTGGAGGATGAGGGGGAGCAAGAGCAGCAGCTGGTATTCCTGACCCCTGTCAGACAGACAGCTGCATCCACCGTGGAGTCTGCTGGCGGTGATAGTGTTCAGGATTCTGTTCAGGACCTGGCCGAACAGAGTCTGACCTCAGCGGCTGCAACTGGAGTTGTGACTGAGGAGGACAAGAACGCGGTACTCCTGGCCGTTCAGGCACTGGTGGCTGAGGCGGACAAGGAAAGCACTGGCTCTGACCAGCCGGCCTCGGCGCCCGCTGTCCTGATCCCGGATACAGTCGTCAGTTCTCCCGGGTCACTGCAAAACGAGCAGTTCACTGCGGACTCACAAGCTGCTGAACTCTCACAGACTGAGCAAGAAACATCAGATAAGACACCGGCTCCTGAAACAGAGCAGATCCCTGAGGCATCTAAGGTGTCATCCGTGCCTAAACCACTCGCGACAAAAGTGAAGTCCACCAACAAGCCAGTGAAGCTCCAGGTACAGCCTCCTAAGAAGCCAACTAAACAGCAGACACCTTCAACGAGCAAGCCCAGCAAACCACAAACGACATCACCAACTAAACCAACGAAGCCACAAACTCCAGCTCCAGCCAAACCAACGAAACCTGAAGCAGCGTCTCCTGGCAAACCAGTTAAAGCTCAGACTACAAGCAAGCCAGCGAAGCCCCAGGCACCGAAACCAAGTCAGTTCCTCGTTGCTCCTGCACCAGTTGCCGCGCCAAGTCCCGCAACTACCACCGTCCAGACCAGTGTCCAGACCAGCACCTCAACGTCAGTCTCCGAGAGCAGCGCTCTGTCGCCGGGTCTGGGTGGCCTGGCCGGTGGTCTACTTGGGCTGGGAGGTCTCGCTGCAGGACTCATCCGCAACGTCATTCCTCTGTCGCTGCCCTTGCGCCGTGACGGAAGTTCGGGAGCGCCGGCCGGTGGACTGCCCTTCCAGATACCTCGTCCCGGTGGTAGGCCGGGAGCTCGACCTGGAGCTAGACCTTTCCAGCCAGGTTTCAGGCCATCTGGTGGGAACCGTCGCCACCAAACGTCTGCAGATAGGAATGACAATGGGTACCTCGTCGTCATTGGTCCCGGCGGACAGAGGATTCCTCTGAACAGGGCACAGGAGAATACCCACACTCCACCAACTCGCCGCACCGGCTTCCTCGCCCCGACTCCTCAGGTCCAGCCCCATTCGCAACGACGTCCTGGAGCGCCTGTCAGACGGGGAGACCATCTCCGTCGGCCACAGCCTGGGGCGCGTCCTCTGACGCACATTCCTCCCCGTATAGACGGGCCGCGCCGTCCCGTGAGACCGGGCAGACCCGGCCGTCCTCTGGCCCATCCTCTTGGCCGTCCGGTGGGACCGAACCACCTTCACCGCCCCGGCAGGCCGGTCAGCCGGCGACCGAGGCCCCACCCCACCGGCTACATTGCCGTCCGTCCTGGAGACCCCACTCCGCCCTCTGACTTCAAACGAGAGCCAGCCCAGCACCAGCAGCCGACTCACAGAGTGCCGACGCAGCACAAGCAGCACGCCCGTCCCCCACCAGGCGGTGACCGTCACCCGCAGCCAGCACCTACCGTTCACGTGGCGCCGACACAGCCCCACCACGGTGGCGTCAGGCCACCCCCTCACCACGCTGGATCTGGATTGAATCATCCCCCACAACACGGGTCTTCAGTAGGAGAGCCGCATCAGCAGTATGGACCCAACGTCAGACCTCCACCGCACAGCCAGCAAGGGAACGCAAGGCCCCATTCTTCACATACGGGAAGTGTGAGACCGCCACCAGTCAACCAGCCTGTGACTCATGGTAGACCTTCACACTCTGAAGGACAACTAAGACCTCAGCCTCCGCACCAGCCTGGGACTCTGAGGCCCCCGCTGCCGCCCAATGCCCAACGCCAGGCTATCAGTGGACACCAGATTTCTCTCCAGGACCGCCCGTACCCCACCCGACCTGTCAGTCACCAGGTTCCTCCGACTGGAGCGCCGATTCCTGGCCTTACCACACCGTCCGCGCACTCTGAGACACTGTACAGAGAACATCTGGCGCAGGCACCGCAGCTCCAGGCTGACGCACTTGTGTTCAAGTCGGACGTCAAGGGAACTCTGCATCCCGTTCCTGGCGATACCGCAGTTACGGCACACCTTCCGTCGTACTTCGAACTGAACAGCGTTGATCAGGAGGGCCCAAGTGATGACCAGAAGTCATCGGCTAGTGTTTTCACGAACATTGGTCCAGATGGCAACGTCCAAAGGGATCCTGAAGATATTGTTCGCATCATAACTGCACCTGCCAATGGCCAGCAGCAGGAGACGCCATTGACACGGGTGACGCCCGTCCTGGTACCGACTCTTCATACCATCGCCTCAGTCGAGGGTCCCAACCGTATCGTAGGAACCAACGTATTCAAACAGGTCGGCCCACTTCAAACCCTAAATGCACTGGATTTGGAAGCCGATAGCGGCCCATCTGCAGTTGGACCCAGTCAAGTGGCACCAACTCAGGCTACGCGAACAGCTGGCGTTGTATCAACGTCGGCTTTTGGTTCGGAGCAGTCGCTGACATCAGGTCCAGTTACCAGCGCAGACACTGACCGAATCCCCGAAAGAACAGTGACACCTGGGCTAAGTAGCCCGATTGCTAATGCAAGGCCTACACAGAGCTTTGAAGCAAAAAGTCAGGCACCTGTGGAAGTTGTGCCTCAGGAACTGCAGACACCACAAGACATTGCTTCAGTAACCAATAACGGGGGAGCATACCAACCGTTCCCTGATAATGGTTATGAGTCCAACTCTGATATTAAAGTAGCCCGGCCGGAGTCGCAGGGAAGTTCACCGGATCTGTTTGGCCAGAGACTGCCGAGCTCTGAATATAAAACTTCAGGGACCTCGGGTCTTTCTGGCTCTTCTTCCTCTGGCATTTCTGGAAGCTCGTCGGTGAGAGAAGAGCCATTCTATCCCGATGATACGGAAGACCAATTCGGGAGTTCGACAAACAAAGACAACATCGGCAACGATCGCGAGTCAGACTACAATGCACTGACCCCGTCGAATGCTCCTGGTGCGCCAAGTCTTCCTGGCTTAGCCGGCATTAATTTCGAGGGCTTACCTGTAACAGAATCGCCTCTCGTGGACACTCAGCTTCCCAACGACCCTAACCAGTTTAACGATTACGGACAGGGGGATGAGGCTGAATATGACGATAGCGGAAAACCCAGCCCAACTATTGGATACGACTACTCAGTGCCACAATATGATCCGTCCTCGGGCACAACGATAAGTGAACAGTACCCTGATGGAAACGGCGAAAGCGTTAGGCGACCAAGCCAGAACACATTGGATCAAACTTATGAAAATGATGAAACAACACCAGACTTGTCGCTTCAATCGCAGAGGCCCTCAACTCCTGACGCCTCAGAACCTGGAGCGAATGGTGGCATTGATTCACTCATCGGTGAACCTACCCGTGACCCTACATCAGCAACTGCAGATGAACAAGGTCAAGGAGACAATGACTTCACATGGCAGGGTGAGTATGGAGTAGACCAAGCTTCGAATGGACAAGCTGGAACAACTGCAGGCTCGACATCAGCAACAGCAGCACCAGGAGATTTCGATGAGTCTGCTTGGGGCCAGAGAACACCGGGTTCTAGTGAAGGAGAAGAACTGCAGGGACAAGATACTGACACTTACACTCCCTCCGAAGAGACGAGCTTGCCTGCGTGGAGCCGAAAACCAACCGACAGCAATGGTAATAATGCTGACTGGACAAACCGGCAGCGAGAGCAGCTTGAAGTTTCTGAAGCAGATGACGAGAAAACTGCCGATGGGGGCTTGGTGTGGCAAGGGTGGAATGAAAGACCATCGGAAAACAGCGAAAACCAGAAGGGTGTCAGAATTGTTCCTAGGCCTTCTACGGATGGGCAGTCTCTTGATGGAGGAAGCTCCCTGCGTGTCAACGGTGAAGAGGGCGCCGAGGATTTTACTTCGGGAGCAGCCCAATCGCAAAATGAAGGTGCATTCGAGCAGGGTGACCAAAACAATGATGAGTATCAACCATCTTCGGGCTTTGAGTATGAATCGACAGGTATTCCACCGAATGTTGTTCCAACACAAAGTTCGGGCACTCCTGATGCAGAAATAGGTGACTTTGCGCTGGAGAACGACTCGACTGAAGAATTAAACTCCATTTCCGCAGACGATACTACTTCAGAATCAATAGATGAGCATGACCATGAGACAATAAACTCGGGACAAACTGAGAAACCATTCCGTGGAATCGTGAGACCATCAGTATCCAGAAGACCTTTCAGAGGAACTGCTCGACCATCAATTACTAGAAGGCCTTTCCGAGGAACTTCGAGACCATCGGTTACCAGAAGGCCTTTCAGGGGATCTAGAAGGCCGGCTGTAACTAGAAGACCAGCTGTGACTAGAAGGCCAACTGCAAATAGAAGACCAGCCGCAACTAGAAAACCGTTTACGGGAATAAAAAGGCCAGCCTGGGCCGAGTTCCATGAAAGCAGTGACCAAAGTGAACCCACAACTGGTTCAGATCTTTTGGAATCTGAAAATAGCGAAGCTGTAGGAGATGCTCAGGGTAATGGAGCAACTTTCAATACTGACCAGGAACAAACTGTGAATGAATCTGCCGACAAAGGAGCGATTGATTCTGATATAAAATCAGAGGCTTCCGCCCCCTCTGAAGACGAGACAAATGAAACACCAAAAGCAACTCATCAGGAGCATGATCTGGATCTAGATCCATCTATTAGAGAGGAATGGGTGCAAACCAGTGATGATGGCGGAAGCACTGGAAACAGCCGAAGACCACCGGGAATCAGCCTTGCCTCCAGCGTGGAACAGGATTCTGATGAGTCGGCGTCAGGCAGTCGAACACCGGGTCTGAATGCTCTCAGTCTGCCCGGCAGGAGGAAGCCCAGTCGGCGTCCCAGTCTCGCCGACATCATCCGACAGACCCTCCTTGCCTCTCGCGACGACAGCACTCTCGTCACAGTGGAACTCTCCAGCTCGAGCTCCTTAGTACGCATTAGTTCCGCGACCATCTCACCCTCACGGACTCGCATTCCACCGGGGATCGCCACCAGTCAGACAGCAGATCGCCGCCGCGTGCCGCCCGGAATCGTGCGCCCTGGAGCGGCCGAAGACGAGGAGCGAGGCGCGGGTGGCCTTGCGTGGCCTTCGTTCGGCAGTGAATACGGCACCGAGAGCCCGGAACCAGCTGATGGTCAGGGAACGGGCACTGGTGCTGGTGCCTGGGATAACGGAGCGGATGGGGAGATCGGAGACTACGGGTGGTCTTATGGAGATGACTACGAAACTGGCACCTCTGGCCCTGGATTCGGTCAGGATTATGAAACCGGTACCTCGTCTCCGGGATATTATCCGGATTATTATGAAACTGGCACGTCAGCCTCCACCGTCGAGGGCAGTGAAGAAGATGTACCGCCTCAGGTGATTGGTGAGCAGGAAACTACCACAGAAGATCAGCCTACACCTGCTGAAGGTCAAAGCCCGGTATCGGATGCATCAGATGCTGCAGACCAGTCAGAGAGTTCAGTTGCTTCCCTATTAGAGGACGAACAGGTTGACCAGGCCACCAAGGACGAAGGGGAGCAAACTGCTACTGATGTTCAGGACTCACAACAACCGGAAGAGGAGGCGTCCGAAGATGCCCAGACCCCAGAGACGAAGGTTGATGTGTCGCTGAGTATCAGCACCTCTGAGACGTCACAGGAGGTATCGGTGGAGCACTCCGTCTCTGAGGCTGCCGCGCCTCCCCCGTCCGCCGCTGATGCCGGTGCCAACGAGGAAGACCCGGTGGAAGTCGTTGTCGGAGTATCGACTGTTGGAGAAGTGGTTGCAGATGTCACTGAAGTTACCACCACAGAGCAGCCCTCGTCGGTCACAGCCGGCCCAGAGACTACGTTCGAGACTCAGGTGAGTTCCCTGAAAAAAAAAATAAATAATTTGCTTCGTTCATATTTGGTTCCGTTTTTAAAGCTTTAAAGTTCCGTTTAAAAGCCATTGGGTTATTATTTCACTAAAAATGTTCAGAGTCTGGTAGTTGGTACCAATTGTTTGCATACCTTTTATTTCTTAACTCTGTTTTTCTTCCTTGATCGGGCTATTTCCTGATATAATTAACTCAAAACAAAATATTTTCAGGACGGCACCAAGGGTACCTCTGTCCCGACCGGAGGTAAAGACAGCTCCTCAGTGCCCAGCACCACCTCCACGGTGGCACCTCCGACGGGACGTGGCTCGGTGGCCATCGCCGGGCTGCTGATCCCGACCCAGAAGGAGAACGACGCCAACCGCGGCGTGGAGACGCCCGGTCTGGAGCAGCCGCTCCTCTCCGAGGACAAGGAGCAGGAGGACAAGTGTCCTCGCCAGTGCCAGGCGGCCATCAACGAGGTGTGCCGTAAGATGGGCGGCGAGCACCGCTGCCTCTGCCGGCCGGGATTCTCCAGAGCGCGGGACAGTGACGCCTGTGAACGTGAGTTGGAACTGCGGGACCCGGATGGGTCTGGGCTGGGTGGCCGTACGCTTTGAGCAAAATGTTGAAAGTAGCGCTTTTTCCAAATGCAAGCGCAGATAAAGGACATTTGTTGCATCTGCCTGATTGTGATCTCTATCGCTGACACTGCTGCTGTCTCCCGACTATCTTGGCCTGACGCGGTGCCTCCGTCTGTCCGCAGCGTCGCTGACATACCAGGTGCGGATGCTGCTGGACCGAGTGAACGACATTCCGCTGCAGTACCGGCGGCCGTTCGCCGAGCCCGCCTCGGCCGAGTACCGGCAGCTGGCCGAGCTGGCCGCCGGCGGACTGCGCGAGAGCCTCTCCTCCAGCGGACCGCTGGCCAGTCGGCTGCACGGCGCCACCCTGATGGAGTTCAAACGGGCGGCCGACCTGCCCGGAGTGGCCCCCAGCCGACCCCAGGCACTCATGGCTGATGTGATGGTGCAGGTGAGAATCGGTAGAGATAGCTGATGTAAGATGTGGGTGGGCCATTGACTAACGACAGCATGGAAAGGAAGATAAAGGAAAGATATTGTTGACTATTGAGCGATAAGCTTGTGTTAATGGCCTTTGTTTTGTTTTTTGTTTTTGGTACAAAAGTTCCGGTCTTTATCGTCATATTTACTTACATCTTATTTCTTAAAGTTACATCGTAAATAACATTTCGGCATATTGTTAGGCTACGACATTTTTTAATTATACCCAGCGTTGTCATGCAATGTCACTAAAAGGATACCGTCTACGAGTAGGTATATGATATGTAGCCCTGATGTGGCATGGTGCCTGTTCCACCCGCAGTAACCTTTTAAGCCCAGCTTTACCTGTCCTTACCGGCCTGGGTGGCCATTTGTCTATATCTCACTATCACCCGTCCCCGGCGAGGTATCAATGTCTCCGCCCGACGTTCCCGCCGCGGAGTGTCCTTTGAGTAACCCTCCCACCCGTCCCCGTCCACAGATCACCGACAGAGAAAGTAAATCCCTGGACAAGGACGGCCTGCAGGTGATTGTGGAGGAGTCACTGCGCCGCTCCAACTACTCGCTCAGTGACCGGCAGGTGGTCGTCTCGCCGCTGCACGGGGATGTGACTGTCATCGGTGAGGACTCCACGCCCTGTTCTAGCCTCGCCCGGCCCTGGTCCTTTCCTATACCTACCCGTCAAGGCGCTGATATCGATAAGCGGGTGTGATCGTTTGTCTGAAAACGTGCTTGCTTCCATGAATGCGGGCACGGTTAAAGATGATGGGATCTCATCAATGCTCGCAACTTATAATAAGAGAAATTTCATATTATGATGGAAGCACTTATCTTTGAAAGAGTTCGCTATAAAGGGTTATATTGGAACGATCATTTCGCCATAAAAGTTTCACCTTGCATGAGGTATGACACTAACTCTTACTCCACCAAATAATTCAAATTCCTTCATGATTACGTGGAGTCGATTTCACCGCGCACGTAATGCGTAGCAGGCAGCGTTATATACTCCCATTGAGCGGTGCAACTTCTAGCTTTCTCGGCCTCTGCCGCCAGACTTTGACGAGTGCCAGAACCCGGACTACAACGACTGTCACGAGGGCGCCTTCTGCTTCAACCTGGTCGGCTCGTTCACGTGCAGCTGCAGGGACGGTCTGGTGGATACCGGGGTACCGAGTCTGCCCGGACGCTCCTGTACCGGTGAGTTCAGCCGCCGACCACGGCCGTCTCTGGTGGCGACACCTGTACGGCAGTGCGGCGTGCTCTGGTGGTAGATGTAGCTCAGTCTTCGCTAGCGAATGTGCGGCATTCGCTAGAGCTGCTACAACAACTGTCAATTGGAAGTCAATTTTCATTTTCTTGTATGTATAGTAACTATCTCACACTCCTTCCCGAAGATAGATCTGCCGCGGTCTGTCATGACCGTTCGTTCCCTGTTTGACCGTTCTCTCCCCTGCCGCGCCCTCAGGCGAGTACTCGGGCTGTCCCGAGTGCAGCTACAGCGGCGAGTGTTACACAGAGCCCAGCGGTGAGCCGGCGTGCCGCTGCCACCGCTGGTACGCCGGCCAGCGGTGCCAGGTGAACCTGCGCGTGCTGCTGATCGCGCTGGCCAGCGCCGGCGCCCTGCTGGCCGCTCTCCTCTGCGTGTGCTGCTACTTCTGCTGCCGTCGCCGCGGCCGGCGCATGGCCGCTCCGCCACTCGGTAAGGGAATATTTAGAAACTTGTTTAAAGTGTCGGCTCATGCATCGTTTTTACTCGTGTTGAATGCATGTTGACATTGCTGTTAGCACGTGTTAGCATTCTTCATATAAATATGAGGTTAGCTTAATGCTTACTAGCATGAATGGACTTATCGGTAGTCAACACCGTATTGCGTATTGACATCCTCCGTTCCGCTCTGCTCTCAGTGTTCTCCGGACCTGGCGGTCTGTGGCATCATCTCATTAACGCTCCCCGCTCTCTTCTGTCCACAGTATTCTCCGGACCTGGCGGTCTGTGGCGCCACCGCGGCAGTCGGCTCCACCAGCCGGTGGCAGACCAGCGGGCTATGTTGGACAGTAGCAGCGACACCAGCATACCCGTCTCCTCCCGAAGGGTAAGGACCGGGACACTGGGGCTATACTGGGGTCACATGGTCAGTGACGAGTTGAGCTGTAGGTGTAGCTATTAGTAAAGTAATCTTGGGTGTAGCTGTATACATATACATAGCTGTAGCTGTAGCTGTAGGTAGCTGTAAGTTGAGCTTCTATACTTCGTACTTAGATAGAGTTAGACGCCGACTGTAACCCCGTGAACTGTTAGCAAAAAAAAAAAATCATTGGCGTAAGCATGTCGATAAACCCCGTGTGTTGCCAACTTCTTAGCTTTGTTTCCAATCGTTGCGATCACTCAGAATCAGATACTCGTACTGATGACTCTCTCCTGACCCACAGCGTCCCCCGAACGGCGGTAAGCGCCTGCTGCCGCCGCTGTCTGGTGGCTCGAAGCCCTCCGGTCCCGGCAGTCGCAGCTCGCAGCAGCCTTCAGCGGGCGAGGCCCAGAGACCGGCCCGGTTCCTGCCTCGGCCCCGGCACAAGACGGACGCGCCTTCCGGTCCGCGGTCCATCAACTCGCAGGGCGGCGGCGACCCGGCGGTGGCACCCAACAGGACACAGGTCAGTATAGAGACGGGTGGAGAGAGAGAGAGAGAGGGAGAGAGAGAGAGAGAGAGAGAGAGAGGGGGGGAGATTCGCTTTCAGTCGCTGTTCAGGCCGATCACAGTAAGACATCGCATGGGGTCGGCTGTGGTTAGAACCCCATTCGTCTTTGAAGACAGGCTGTGTGGGTTTCTCCCCAGGTGCCTTCCTGTCATTTTGTCGTTAGTCTGACCTTTGCCCGATTTCTCATAATTACGAATGATTAAAGGTGCTCGTAGCATAAGTGACGAATCGCACTTTCCACAGGGGTCACTCGGATGCCATTTGAGGCCGTTTAGCTGCCATTGGTGTGTAAATGTGTGAACATGGGCTTAACCCTGTGAACCGCTGAGTTTATTTATGACACAGGCGGCATGAGTTGTGTGACTACTCCACCGCCAGTTTTCACCACCGAGTGGCCAAGTGGACACAACATGGACCGGGGCCCACCGTCCCCATTTCTTAGCGGTGCAAATCAGTTATTCTGTCCCCCTAGACAGCCCCCTTCCCCGTTGGTGCCGCCTCTGCAGCTGATCTGAACCCCTCCCCCTGCAGCCACAGCTGAGCTGACCGTCCTCTCTCCCCTGCAGCCGCAGCTGATGGGCCTGCTCCACCCGTCGGAGGCGGCGCGGGGCCGCTCTGCCGGCGGTACGTTCCGCGCCGGCCGCACCAGCCGCAGCTCGGGCCGCGCCGAGCCCGACTCTCAGGTCAGCCACACGCCGGCCGGCCGGAGCCGCAGCTCCAGCGGCGGCCGCCGTCCGGAGCCGGAGGTGTCGCAGCTGCCCAGCGGCCGGAGCCGGAGCCGCAGCTCCGACTCGGTCAGCGGCGAGCCCGAGAGGATCGAGTGCGGCACGCACAACTTCTTCAGGGCCAGGTGAGAGACGACGGATGGTGCGGAGCGGATCAGGGATGGCTCCAACGTCTACATGTGGTGCTATGACGTTATTTTCAATCTCGATACAACGCTGATAAAAAGTGCAGACCAGAGGCCTCTTGCACCAAAATCCTCTTGCACCAATGCTTGGATTATTTTGCATCGTATACCCAGTCCAAGTCTCAAATGTAACAATTTGCATGCAAAATTTTGCAAGCACATGTAGGATTATGTATTGGGCTATTGCAAACAAATTTACCACCGTTAGATTAGCTTATTCTGAAACCGGTTTTTTTATTTTACCTAGCTAGGTAGTTTGGTGCAAGAGGCCTCAGCAATGATTTAATGAATGTATCAACTGTCGATAAAATAAAATGCAGAGTGTGATTAAGTCTCCCACCCAAGACGTGTGTTGTGCTCGCGATGGCCCATCTGTCCCACGCTGTACGGCAGTCCTGACCCCCCCCCCCCCCCCCGTCCGTTCCAGGACCATGTCGGACGCGCTCTCCTTTAACGAGGAGCTGATTGAGCCCAGCGTCCGGCCGGTGGCCCGCTTCGACACCACCCGCAGTCAGCGCAGCTCACACGCGCCCAGCTCGCATGGCTACACTTACGTAAGTATAAAAACACATTCAAAGCCGGATCGTTTTAAATTGTAGCATTGAACACGTCCAAACTTTTTGTATAATGAAATGACCGGGAAGTTTCCTCAAATGCGTTCCTTGGATCCTGCCAATGCCCTTTGAAATATAGCTTGTTCCTAACACGTTTCTCTCTTTATCTCCAGGAGCACCACACCATGGCAGAGCGCGACGCGGCATCGACATATGTGATGCCGGAGACCCATCTGTTCAGGAGGGCTCAGGTACGTAAAAATTGATCACATAATCGTGTTGGCAACAGTGAAATTTGTGGCTATTTATGTGTGCATTCTAAGGATGGTTTAAACTGTCCAGCATCAACCTCACATGTTTCATTGTCCGTGCCGTATTATGCTGCATTTCTCTGTACCGTACTGACAATCTTCACTGTTCTCGTGTTCAGGACTCGGACGCCCAGTCGGAGACCAGTCTGGTGGAGGACTTCCCTCGAATGGACGGTTCGTCAACCGTCAGCAGTCGCCGCGGCTTCCGCTAGCAGGCGCCGCTCAGATAGAACAGAGCACCGGCCGATGTGGGGGAGAGACCTCCCGAAGACGCCGGTTATATAGAGTGGCTGCCACAAGGCGGAGTGGTGTCGCGGGATTCGTACATCAGAGACGGGACACTGGAGATTATGTTTCTGTACGATTCGTGGTTAGTATGATCGTCGCAGAGGCGTGGGTGTCACGAGAGTGATGAAGCTCTCCCAAGAGATGAGATGCTGGTTTTGCACAGACATAACCAGCGTTATTGTTCCTCATTGATCGGACAGGTGAACTACATATTCAACTGCTAGCAGGCGTTTACTGTACCCGCCTGACGTTGCTGCACTAATCATTCTAAAAATGCACCAAGGCCGTCTTTGCTAGGGACTTTTATCGAGGTATCTTCCATTTCTCAGAAAAAGCTGTGCGTTCGCATACGTTTAGACCCATTACATGTCATATAAATGCATTAGTTCCTCTTGTAGAGAATATCGAAAAAAAATTAATTAGACCCATTCTGAACAAGTGCTCAATGAGTGGCCTCATGAGAGGTCAGGTGTGACCATGGAATCATCTTTGCAAGGATGTGATATTTATTTAGCGAGAGTGGAGTGAATGGTTGTTAGTTTGTTGTTGCGGTAGAGAGCTGTAAGAACTGTTTCGTTACGTTGTTACGAGAATGTCTACCAGAATGCATCGGTAAACGTTAATTGTTACGATGCAGAGTTGTTTTATGCTGGATCGTTCATCGATGTGTGCATGGATGTGCTTTTGCAAATGATATTTATTAGAAGTTTTTATTGTCTGACTACTACAAGAAAGAATTGTTCGCAGAAGGCTGGCAGGGTGAATGCTTGTTAAGTTACATGTGGCATTTACGTGATGCGGCTGAGAGAACGATATATGTAAGTGGTGACTAATACACGTTCTTAAGTACGAACCAGTATAGCGCCTTTTGGGGCGACTAACGGAGCGAGCGAGAGGGTGAGCCTTGCACGTGCGAAATTTCGAGGGGGTACCTCCAACTGACTTGTGCACGGCACCCTACTAACCGGTCTCTAGCGATGTGCCAAATTTGAGCGCAATCGGCCCAGCCGATCGCGAGATCTGGAAGCGGCACCCTGCACGTGCGCACGTGCAGAATGGGTCCCAACTGACTTGTGCACGGCACCCTACTAACTGGTCCCTAACCGTGTACCAAATTTGAGCGCCATCGGTCCAGCCGATCGCGAGATCTGAAAGCGGCACCCTGCACGTGCGCACGTGCAGAATGGGTCCCAACTGACTTGTGCACGGCACCCTACTAACTGGTCCCTAACCGTGTACCAAATTTGAGCGCCATCGGTCCAGCCGTTCTCGAGATCTGGAAACGACCCCTGCACGTGCGCACGTGCAGCAGCACCCCAACTCTGGCACATGGATATGCAGTGCCCAGTGGGTGCCAACCTACATGCCAACTTTCAGCGCAATCGGCCAAGTAGTTACCGAGATATTGCAACAATTACAAAACTGACACCTCTTCGTTTTGCGCGTGGCACGTGCATAAGGGGTCACCCACATGCATCGGGAATAGTCCAATACTTGGTAGAAGGAATGAAGCTACCCCACAAAAATTACCCCGTGTAAATCGGTCAAGTGGTTGCTGAGATATAAGCCTGGCAAAAGCGTCCGCACGGCCGGCCGGCCGGCCGGCCGCTCATACTCAGAAATTTCCGTTAAAGGGACTATCCCACCTTCTAAAATGTTGTTAAAACCAGTTAAATTGTGGCCGACTTTATAGATTGGATGACCAGGAACACGGTTCTGGCATTTATTTTTCATTAAACATCTTAGGCTTCCCATATTCCAAACACAAACTTTCAAATATGTGACGTCACAGCCCAAAATTACCTCCTTCCCCAGGCCACATTACTGTCATAAAGCCGATTCTTTTTACTCTGTAGGCACCACAACAAAGTTCGGACCAAGTTTTAAGCGATTTTTCAACGAACAAACCCATTTAAATCAGAATGACTAAACGAGGTGACGTCACACTAACGGTCGCTCTATGTTGAAGATAGGGCCTTGTACAAGGCCCATTTTCAAATGAAGGGAACGAATTTCTTCAACGCCAAGAGGCCGCGGGGGTTGCAACCTAGATAGATAGTGGTTTCTGAACCTCGCCGCAAACTTGGCTATCTCAACTCAAACCAGTGGCGCACCCAAGGGGGGGGCCTTGGGGCCCGGCCCCCCCCCCCCCCGCTCGGTCATAATTAGGAGGCCCCCTGAGCACCGCTTAGGGTACTTTTACACTTGACTTTCCTGCCTAACCTACTATAATTCTGCACAAGATGCACTATCTGGGCAGAGGCCAGGAGGCCCCCTCTGGTAGGCGACCCTTGATGGGCAGGAGGCCCCTTCTGGATGTGAGGCACCTTCTCACAGGAGGCCCTATCTGGGCAGGAATCAAGAGGCCCCCTCTGGCAGGAGATCCTTCATGGGCAGGAGGCCCCCGAGGCTCCCTCTGCACAGGAGGCCCCCTCTGGTAAGCGACCCTTGATGGGCAGGAGGCCCCGTCTGGCAGGGGACCTTTTATGCACAGGAGGCCCCTTCTGGATTTGAGGCACCTCTCACAAGAGGCCCTATCTGGGCAGGAATCAAGAGGCCTCCTCTGGCAGGAGATCATTCATGAGCAGGAGGCCCCCGAGGCTCGCTCTTCACAGGAGGCCCTTTCTGGACAGGAGCAGGAGGCCCCCTCTGGCAGGAAAGCCTTTATAGGCAGGAGGCCCCTCTGGCAGGACACCTTTTCTGCTTAGTAGGCCCCTTCTGCATGGGAGGCTCCCTTCTGCACAGATGGCCCTATCTGGGTGGGAGCCAGGAGGCCCCCTCTGGCAGGAAATCTTATACTGGGCAGGAGGCCCCCTCTGGCAGGAAATCTTATACTGGGCAGGAGGCCCCGAGGTTTCCTCTACTTAGGGGCCCTTTCTGGGCCGGAGTCAGGGGGCCCCTCTGGCCTCTTGCAGGAGACCCTTTCTGGGCAGGAGGCCCTCTCTGGATGGGAGTCTCTCTCTGCATAAGAGGACATATCTTGGCAGCAGTCAGGAGGCCCCCTCTGCACAAAATGTCCTATCTGGGTAGGAGCCAGGAGGCCCCCTCTGGCAGGAGATCCTATATGGGCAGGAGGCCCCGAGACTCCCTCTGCACAGGAGGCCCTTTGTGGGCAGGAGCCAGGAGGCCCCCTCTGGCAGGAGACCCTTTATGGGCAGGAGTCCCCTCTGGCAGAGGACCTTTTATGCTTAGGAGGCCCCTTCTGGATGGGACGCTCCCTTCTGCACAGAGGGCCCTATCTAGGCAGGAGCCAGGAGGCCCCATCTGGCAGGAGCTCCTTTATGGGCAGGAGACCCCGAGGCTTCCTCTGCACAGGGGCCCTTTCTGGGCAGGAGTCAGGAGGCCCCTCTGGCCTCTTGAACGAGACCCTTTATGCCCTCTCCTGATGGAAGGCTCCCTCTGCACAAGAGGCCCCTTCTGGCAGGACTCTCTCTGGATCCCCTCTGGAAGGAGACCGTCTCTGGGAAAGAGGCCATCTCTGGATAGGAGGCCCCTCTTCACAAGAGGTCCTATCCGGGCAGCGCCTCGCCCTGGCAGGGCATTTTTCATAACGCGGCCTGGCAGAGGGGGGGGGGGTCGATGCGACCCCCCTCGCGATTGGATCCTATGGCACCTAGAAATACCAAATTTGGTAGGTAGGTGGCCCTCTTAAAATCCTCGTCCCTGTGCAAATTTGGTTGCTCTAGGTCAATATTTAGGGGTTTTTGGGAGGTATAATTGTAAAAAATTTGCTAAAACAGGTCAAAAGTTTTCGCTGATAACTTTTGATCTAATTAACCCGCGCCGGGCAGGTGCTCCGCGACTTCCGCGCCGGGCCGGGGGGGGGGGGTGTCTGAAAACCCCCCTTCTAACTCGGCTCCTGGGTCACGTAGCGACACGCGGTAAGCGGCATTCAAAAGAGCGTCCAAAATAAGTACGAAAACACTTCAGTCATTTTTTGGGTCAGGTCAAAGGTCAGGTTACCAGAGGTCACCAAAGGTAAAATGTTGGCTATTTCAACATTTTGGAAACTGCCAACGGCTAACTCGGGAACCGATAGAGCTACAGCGCCGCGGAAAAGCGCATTCGATAGCTCTTTTGACGCTCTTTCGCCAATATGTCCTCAGATTTGACCTCAGGTCAACGGTTTAGCCTCCAGAGGGCAAAAACTCCAAAAATAGCCGTTTTTTACGAACAGTGTTTTTCGGCAATAACTTCTGACTCAAAAAAGCCACGACATTACTTTTGCCAGAATCGTGTTCCTCTTGTCAAAACGCGTCGAATGAACTATAAGTTGACCTTGAAAAGTCAACTTAAAAATTTGACCTCAGGACCTGACCGGAAAAGGTCATGTTGCATATCAGTCGATCCGCATCGTCGAGCCGAACACATCTAAGGCGTTTTCATCGCTCTATCATGCCTCTATCAGAAGTTATTAGCAAAAAACTGTTAGATACTATTCGTGACCTGAGATGACCTCGGGGACATCTCAGAACGAGGGGTCACACTCCGGGTCACAGGTGCAATTTTCGGGTTCAGTGTGTCCATTTTACCTACATCCCGATGTTTGAGAGTGTCTAGAATGGCGTTCGTGCAAAACAGACGCCTTTCAATTTTCTCCCATTGAATTATAATAGAGAGGCCGCAAAATTGACCTGACCTTAGGTCACCGATATCGAAATTCCGAGATACACGTTTAATAGGTTTTTATACACGCTTTTATAGGACACACGAGATACACTCTTACTCTCATCAATCGCTGAAAGTTTCAAGGCAATCGTGCGGTCGGTGTAGCCATGACGAACATTCTAATTTGTTTCTGACCTGACCTTGAGAGACCTGGGTCTGAAATTTTCACAGCATGTGCGGAAAAGATGCACGAACAGGTGTGTTAAAAACGGCGGCGCGGAGCTGCGAAAAGCCGCCGGGGGGGGGGGGGGTGTTCAAACACCCCCGGCCCGGCGCGGGTTAAGATAGAGCAAAACAAAAGCACCAGTGAACTCAGCACGTCAAGGCGTGTCGAATGATATACTTTTTTTGTTTGCTTAAGTGTACTTAAAAGTGTAGGTATTAAAGTGTACTTAAGTGCACAACTTAAGTAAAACTTAAGTCTTAGGAATGGTTGAAATGCTTAATGTTGCATATTATTCGACTCAGCTGTTCAAGAGGAACAGAATGATACCATTTTGAAACCTGTTCTATTATGTGACAAGTTATCGGCACAAACGTCATTTGACCTGAGTTGACCTCATTTGACCTGAACCTTAGATAAGTACACCAAACAAAGAAACACCGAGTGACATTATGTTAAGTACTGTGGTATCAAAGAACAAAAGGGATACAACGAAGCGGACATCTCTATATTTTCCGAATAGGAGTTATTTGAATATTTTCCCATAGGCTTAACATTACGACGTAATGACCCCTAACTGACCTCAGGTCAGTGACATAAAAAACGAACTACATATTATACAGCTCGGTGAACTTAGCACATCCTGAAAGTTTGAAGGAAATCTGTCCAAAACTGTGCGTTGGACAGGTACATAAAAAATTAAATTTGACCATAACCTTGTACCCGTTTTTCTGACATGGTGGCCTGACCCAAGGTCGACCGGACCTGAAATTTGCAGATCACATGAAAAAAGGTTGCCCCATAGGTTGTGCCAAATTTAGCGGCGTTGCGCGCCGCCAATTTTACGCTATCTTTGAAAAACCTTAGGGGGGGGGGGTCGCATCGACCCCCCTGCCAGGGTGAGGGTTAAGCTTTACTAATAACGCTAAGAACGTCACCAAACATACAGAGGCCGTCAAAAAGTAAGCCATTTGGAGGCCCCCTCGATAGAGAAAAGGCCCCCTGGCAAGCGGAACACGGAGGCCC